CTCTAGTTGTCTATTGATTCTTTATTTTGAAACACTGACTGAGAAATTATTCATGTAATTTTCAAAGTCTTGCATAGGCAAAAGCCTTATGATTGACCCGGTTACAGAAGAGGAAGGTTGTGAAGATAAAAGCTTTATGATGACTTGCATGCCTTCTCGTTATGAAGTCACTCAGCTAACCATCACTGGTGAATGGACAACTCCTAATATCAATGAGGTATTATCTCTCAGCTAACCATCACTATTGATGTTATCTAATTGCTTCCTTTGTATGGTATCACATTATAATGAATTATTGATTAAGCACGAATGAAAGTGTATTCAGACCTTTGTGATCTGCAATTTAGACGAAAGGGTTTATGTGGTTAACAAAAACAAGTTTCAACATATGCAGGCAATGCAGCTTTGCTTGGATGCTTGTTCTAAACTTGGAGAGATCATGCGGGATTGTCTGAAACAGGCTGCCTCAGCTTCCGAGGAATGAAGATAATCAAGAGACTATGGATTGTAGCTCGGACTTGGTATGAAACCGGTTTATAGGTAAAATTGATTTTAGTCTAAACCGGTCTTGATGGTGTAATTTAAACCGATGTAGTTTCTTACGTCAAAGTTGACGGAACTAGATCTTTCGTTATGAAATGAATCCAATTTTGTATCCCATTTGCTTTAGTACCGAAGACTTTAAATTTGTGTCCATGGTGGGTGATTGGTTTTACAAAGATATAATTATTAGTGGTTGTTTTTGGACTTGAAATTAGAGTTAAGTCCAGATTTACCAGGTTGTTATAGGTCTGAAACTTGTAAATTTAAATAAAGAAAAAAGAATAGTAATAGAGAAAATTGCATGTTCATTCACATCACAAGTTTTGACTCTTGGGGGTGGAGGAGGGTATTTAGGTAATTTCAGGTTACGTCTGAACTTCAACTGCTTCTGCGTCTGCTTCTGCTTCATGTATGTACGATCATGCGAAGAATCTAATAAATCAGCAGGACTAGTTAGTTGTGGTAATGGAGAGAGAAGACGTGTGTCGATGCAAAGTGGACAATAAAAAAAGACTTGCCACGTTTTCAACACCACCTAACAACTGTTTCTTTCTTCTCCACCTCTTCCCATTTTTGGCTTTTTTCCTCTCCCTTTTGTCTCTCTTTTGATTTTTGTTTTGTCTTCTTTTTAAGGCCTATTTTTCAAATTTTAACGGAGAAAATGTAATCAGTTTTTTTTTTTTTTGCACAAACCGAATTTATGTTCAATTTTTAATACAAAAGTGACAATGCCACTTATATTAGTTGATCAGAGTAAGTATTTTTTTTTTTTAAATTCTTCGATTATATCAATATTTACTAAACGATCTTAATATTTTCTAAATAATAATTACAATTGAATAACCAAACCCAATATATAGATGATACACGATCAAGAACTTACAATATTCTTGTTTTAAAATGAAATGCAAATCATTAATAAATTGTTTGTTGGAACATGAATAAGAGAACACAAAATCTTCATGATGAACCTTCTTTTCTAATTCCTTAAATGTTTTTACTTGTTTGCAATCCTTAATCTTTCCCGTTTTAGGTTTATTAGCTTATTCATTTGGATAATCTAAAAAAAAGGTTTGTTACTCCATATGTGTTGTGTTACCCTTTGCGAATTTGTAATCCCTTTCTCGTGGGATTTTATATAACGTATAAAATTATTATTTAAATTTATTGTAAATTATGAGGATTGTTATGCAAACGATAATTTACTTTCATTCTATTAGATTTACGACATACGACATTTATTTATGTTCAAGGTTCATGATAAACATATTTTATATTTTATGTGTAGATTCACGGTTAACGGTATTAATTGCACAACTTCAAAGA